GCAACAGGGGTTGGACCATGACAATGCTGCAGCTGCCTCTAGAGCCTTGGGTTTCTGCCTCAGGAGTCTTGTAGCAGGCCTTAGACAGATCCCATTCTCTTTCTTTGGTATGGAAATGACGATGACTATGAAATACCAGTTCAGCTAGACTGGGAGCTTTCTGAAGGACTTACTTCTTGAAGAGTATGCCCTGAGTGTAAAGAAGATCTTAGACTTGGAGAAGACAGAAGGTTTGTTGTTCCCCATGGAAGGTAAAATTCAAAACTTCTTGAAGAAGGAATTAAGATGTATTTGCATGGAACTTGGTAAAAGAATTAACTATAACAGCTTTTCTCTCTCTCTCTCCCCTCCTGATGACAGATGTCATCACTAGTAGGAGGATATCTTAATAGAAAAATAGCACAGCAAACAATTGCCAAAAGCTCAACAGATGCTTGAGAATATCAAGCACCAAGTTCAAGTCTTTCCAAGGACAGAGCTTTTCACAGAAAAGAACAGGCTGTCTCCCACAGAACTTGGAGCTTCCACGACTCCGGGGTTTCATCCAGCCGGGGGCAGCAGGCCGAAGCATCTAATAATCCGATCTGATCAACTGGCACTTGAAGAGGATGGGCTGTGGCAGCCCCCACAAGTAGCCCCCTGTCAGATCTAAGTAAGGTCTGATGCAAGAGGGGGAAAAAAAAAAAGGAAAAAAAAGGAACAAAAGGAAAAAAAGAAAAGCCCCAACCAACCACCACCACCTTCGAGCAGCATCAAAGCCCACTTTGCCAAGCACCTTGTATAGCTCTTTATGCTGATAAAAACATTCTTAGCTGACAGACCAGAAAGCTCTTGAACACAAGGAACCCACACTCACGCAAATGGATGATATAATTAAGTAGTTTAAGATGCCAAGCTCCAGAGAATGTCTATTTGGATTGGAAAGTGACTGTATTTGTCTTAATATAGCACAGCTCCCTGTCCCCAGTTTCCCATTACATCATTTCCCTTTTCTAACACACTTAAACATCTAGTAAATGGCCAGCTTCCTAGCTAGTACAGGCTCATATTCAGTCTGCTTTAAAAGTTCTTTCCAATATAGGACATTCTTCCATCTTACTTACCAAACAAAACAACCCCCCTCAACTAGAAGTATAAAGACTTCTTTACCAACTTCTTTCTCTCTAACATTCAAAACTTTTTGTCCTAGAGAGCCTGCTACATCCTCACAGGCACTCCTGACTGCATTTAAGCTACACCACTTGTACTATCTCTAGTGCAGTTATATTTTTAAATCCATGGTGAAATCCTGCTATTGGCCTTTGCTTGTAAAAGCAGGCACAGCCATGAGCATCCAGGGAAGTATAACTTCACCAAAATCAAGGCTCAAAACTCAGTGGACTCTTTATTTTGCTTCATTTTGGTAAAGGCTTTAGAATAACTTACATCCTAGCATCAAACATTTTACGGCTTTGGTTTTCTTTTAATTGTAGAAAAGCACATAAATGAGAGGGTAATGGACAGATTTCAGTGTGATACCAAGTGGCATGGATACAATAATCCTTAAACAGGCATCTCATGTCTACTCGCTAACTGGAACAACCTTCTTCCCATTAGAAATCCCGTTGTAGATAGCCAGGTTTCTACAGTCAAAGACAGTATTGAAAGAGCAACATCTAAGACTTGGTCAGGTGTGGGACAGGCAGCAGTGGTTTGTCTACCGCTCCTGAAGACCTGCTCAAAGCCAAAGCTTCAACCATTCTCTCCGGGAACTGTTCCTACCCCAACTGATAACGTCAAGCGAGCAGTGCCTTGCACTGCAAGTCTCCCTTGTGCTGTTGTTCAGAAGACTCAGTTGTGCAGATCAACTCTACCCTGTCTCACTTGTAATCAGTGCGAATGAGGCTACTGTCAAATTTCAGTATTTAGCAGGTATTGACCCCACATACGCTGGGACAGAGCTCAAAGGAATGGGTTAGATGACTTATAAAACCAAAAGGATGAGCATACTGTCCTTCCATGTCTTGTAAAGCCTCTAGCAATGTTTGAATCTGGCCTACTCTTTGATAGGGTTCAGAGCAAACATTTCTCCCTGCTAATGTTCTGGCATCACTTAAAGTTTCATAGCCACCCCCACCAACGTATCTTACAGCCATCTTTACATATTGTCCTTAAAGAAACTTAGGACCCGTAAAAGGCCCACAGAGAAACGATTTGCTAGAAAGAATGTGATCCATGAAGTTTGTGTATTTGCGAATTTCCAAAAGAAAAATCAAATTAGATGGAGAAACATGAAGTCACCATTTCACACCGAGAAAACTGAAGTTTCTGAACCTGAAGTTCATTGTTTCTCACCCAGGGCACACCAAGTTGTTACAATAAATTATGTTTGGTAAGAGTAATTTAAGGTAAAGAGACTAGAGATGAGTATTAATCATGAATTAAGAATTTCGACGAGATCTCTGGCCACAATTTAGCAAAACTGGGAAGAGGTCCTTGCCAGAAAGATTTGAAAAATACACATCAGTTTTGGGCAGATACTTCTCAGTAGACTGACTCCAGTCCCTCAGGTTGAAGTTTATGACCTTTCTCACATTAACATACATGCACATCCAATTTATTGTATAGCTGTTTACAGATCGCCAATCTTTCGAGACACATCTAGCTTGTTCTCACATGTATGTAAAGAACATGTCTACATCAACTTGTCAATCATATGATTCAACGGGGAAGCCGCAATCCCATAAATAAGGCACCCCAACGCTGACTTGGGGTAGTTCTCGTTGGCTGGTCCAGGGGCACTGCCTGGCGAAGAGACATCAACCTCTCGTGTTCTCTGTCATGACGTAAGGACAATTTCCCTGACTGTTGCTCATCATCAGGTAAGACTAATCATTAACAGTGTTGTACCTTGCCTACACAGCAAGTGAGCTTTCCCCTTCTCTCTTTCGCTCATGCCTAGATTGCTCGCATTCTGCTCAGGCTTAATTACATCGACTGTCAACTTTATTATAATAATGTAAGTTGATCAAACTTGGTCCTTGGTCTGTTGCTGTTTAATCATTTGACAGCTAAAGAACCCTTGCTGTGTGACATGGCGGGGGAGTGGGGTGGGTGGGAGTGGGAGAGTGGAAGAGGGAATAAAAAAAAAAAAAAAAAATCAAAAGAATAAAGAAGTACTCCCCAAATTCAAAACACTACGTAAGAAGTACAGCATGGTATCTCTCTTCAAGACACTTACTGAAAGGTCTATGCCAACATTCAGGTGAGCTTGTTGTTTTGCCCCATTCTAACTGCACAAAGTGACAAAATCTGGTCCACAGAACAATCACTTGAAAAAATTCCAACTTAAAAATCCTTTTAAAAATCTTTCCTCTCCATTCTCAATTTCATATCATTCCCAACAGCACCTACAATCATCATGTGTATGGAGTAGTTACTGAAGAGTAGTACTTATGATCAGTCTTAATGCAGCCTATGTTAATCACAGTAACTTTGCTTTTTTTGTTGTTGCTGTTTCTTTTTAATTACATCTTCTCTTACATGGTTTACAATTCCAGAAGTAGAATTTACATATGCATTGGACAGTGCAAGCCAACTGACACTTTATCTGAATTTTTATTTTATTAAAAACTCATGGGAATGTATAAAAACACCTAGAAGCCGCATCTTCCAGGAAACTAGGGAATACTCAATTTCAAAATTAAAGCTCTTGGCAAGAAAAAAAAAAAATTACAACTAGATTATTTGGGTATTTCAAGCCTGACTACAGGGACTTTTTGCTGTCCAGAAAAAAAAAATTCTGTCACCTGCATTCTTAAGATGATCATGGTGATACAAAGATTTAAGTTTCTAAGGTTATAACATACTGAAGTGGAGAAATAGAGGATCCCCTTTCTTCTTTTATTACGCAAATAAAGCTTTCCAAATATTAATCCAGGGCTTTATTCATACAATAAAGGGGAAATTTACCCTAGATAAAAGCCCACATTAAAAATGATCCAGCAGATTTTGGGTTGCCTGTAACACCTCAAGCCTTAAACTCCAGAAGGGAACAAGGCCAGAGCATCTGATTAGCAAGTGTCTGTGAAACACCTAACTGTTCTGCAAGAACAGTTTCCCACAACTTTTAAGTTTTGTGAAATGCAAAGTTCATACCTGAAACCACCTTAATTCAAACAAAATAGATACAAAAGCACCAGCAAAAAACTTGTCTGACCAATAATCAGTCTGAGACAGGTACTATAATCAGAAACAGATTATGTACATACCAATTACATCATGAATTGCCCACAACCTTGATGTAGGTTGAACAGCTGCTTCTGGATGTACTTAAATCCCAGAATAGAAGCGTATGGAAAACGAAAGTGATTTTTAGTTTCTGACAAAGTTAAAAATATTACAAACTTCTAGCTTTTATTGAAAATTAAATATATTAGCAAAAGCAAGATTTAAGAAATATTTTACAAATGATTTACATACAAGAAAGCCAGTATCAGACATATTCACAAATATGCAAACCTTTAATTACAAAAAGTACCTATTGGCAGCATGATGCTAACCTTGCCACTGCAGTGTGCTCTACTATTGATATGAATAAGGCATAGTACTCACATTTGCACCAACTTAAAAAGTTCAAATAAAACTTTAAGCTTTTAAATCCTGGATGCACAATCCCCAATACACACACGCACGCTCTAAGGTTTCTTCTTCTAAGCTCTATAAACTAAGTGTGTGCTCTGGAAGAACAGCCAGCCTGAAAAGCCCAGTAGAAATGTAACCGGTACTAGCATTTAGTTTTCAGTTTCCTCTTTAACATGTACAGGCCTAGGTATGTAAACCATATTCACAGTTTAAGTATTTTTAGACAGAAGTACCTTTTTTTTTTTTGCATTTGATCCTTAAAATTGGCTCTCAGTTCAGCATACAGTTCATAATGTCACCTGTTTTGTGATGCATACATTTACAAGATAACTTAAAAATCTGTGCCATATCCATGGTCAAGATAATTCAACAAGAGTAGTAATATCCAACAGTGACATTCAATACTATATTTCAAATATTTGTGCAAACAGCAAAAGAACAGTTGTATGAGGCAAACATTTGCAAAACCTTTAATACCTCCTCAATGTTGTAAACTTGGACTGTCCGCCTTAAGTCCTGCACTTCCCACAGCTTTAAAAAGTCAGTGGCTAAAATTATCAAGTCTCAAAAAGGTTCTCTTCTACATAGTGCAAATTGTAATGTAGATAACGTGAAAAACATATCTAGCTGGATTGACTTTGTGCAATCATCAGTGGTCTTCTCTCATAGTTGAAGAAAGTGTGCATTCAAAGAACCACGTGGTTCAGGAAGTCGGGAGGGTGGGGAGGAGAGAGAAAAAACAGTTCCATTACACTTCTCAAACCAGTGCTAGATGTGCAAAGGCAGCAAAAATTCCAGCTGCTACTACAACCAGAACAGAGTAACTTTTCAGGAAGACCCAGGCGGTTAGTCACTTGGACTGGTCTCTAGAAAAATATGTGAGTATATGTTGGATTTTTATCAGACGGTCTTTTAAAGACATCATGGAGAGAACTGACAGCTGATATCTGGGGTCTACTGGGAGAACAGCTAGAAGCCACCAACACCACGCAGGACCATTCGGCATTGCCTAAAAATAAAAGATAAGTTGGTTACCCATAACCAATATAGTATAGCTGACTAACACAAAGACATCAAAAGACAAAGTTGTCAATGACAAAGACTAGTTTAAAGTTTGAAACTAACTAGAGAATTCCAGATCCATGAGATCAGAAGGGTTCTGAAGGGCTCTCTTCTGATCCCTCCCCAACTGAGAAGTCAAATGAAGTACACTTAGACTAAGCTTGATAAAGCAGTTAGTTTTAAGACAACAAAGGAAGCTCACAGCTTCCTTGGGAAAAGGTGTCTACGTATAAGACAGTCACCTAATAACAAACCTCCCTGATGAAAACTAAATCCATTACCTGTCATGCTAGTCTTGAGGCTTGAATATTCTTGAAGCCTAACGTTTTCGTTACAATTGTCTTTGCTATATTTGAAGAACTCCTCTATCACCTCCCAATTCCACTCCCTTCTCATTACCTCCTAGACTACAGCAGGACTACTTAATGAGTTTCTTCTAAGTTGATAAAACATACTGTGTAACTTTTTCCTGTACTTTATTTAATTCTCTACACCAAGCCTTAGATGTCATGCCCAGAAATGGACATAATACTCTTCAGTAGAAGGTCTTATCACTGCAGAGAAGATTAATTACCTCAAATGACTTGCAAAAATATTACTGGTAGTGGTACACTCCAGGATGACATTTACTTCCTTCCACACAGTTGACACATTTGTGTTCTATTATAAATCTCAAGTACATACCCACAGTACTGTAGCCCAGCTAGTTACCTTGGTTTTGCACACTTACTCCTCTTTCCTAGTATGTTGTTTTAAATCTGTTTTTTTCATTAAATTGTTCTAAAATCAACTTCTGAATTCATGCACTGGCCTCCACAGCTTCTACAGTCCTCCCATATCGGTTAATATAGTCTCATAAAAGTATGTAGCAGATAGGTGAGGTACAGGCTCTCATAAGATCCCACTTCATATATAATTCTACTTTGAAAGCCAAATTTGACGTATTAACCATTAAAATAGATTGCTGCAGCTAGTTTCTTAAGAAACATTTGTCAAATCCTAGCAGCTGCAGCAGTTTACGGCGCTAGCTCAGAAAGGAGGAAGGTGTTATTTGTGATTACCTCTTTGCCAAAGATTACTACCTGCGCATGTCACAGGGAAGAAAATACATTTTTTTTCCTCCATTTGAATTCTAACAGCTTTACACAAACCAACAGTTTAAAATGCTACTGGAACTTAAGGTGTTCTCAGTTTACTAGTTTTACCTCCACAGCAGCATATCATCCTTTCCTGCAAAAACTGTTGAACAGTGACAGAATTCCCTTTTGTTGCTCATCATAAGAGAAACAAGATGCAAGCCTTATGCCTTCAAAGTTGGGAAAAAAGTTTTTTTCTTTTAATGTTTAGTAGTTAACAACAGGGGTTTTAGTTTTAGAAATAAGCACCTAATAATTGATATTAAATGACGTCTCACCTGTATATTTTCTTCCCTGTCAGGCATTGGCCCGAAGTGCTGAAGAATTTGAGTGCGAAATTTGTTTCTTAAGTTTTGGAACCAACTGCAGGCCTGATTGTAAACAAAATTGTGAAGTTCTCTCAGTTTCTTTAGTTCTTCTTCATCAGCAACCTATAGGAGGAACGATATGAAAATATCATTAGAGATAAACAATTAAGGTGTTTAGGCTAAAAATCAAAACCCATTCAATTTCAACTATATTTAGATACATTTATTGAATTCTCCTAAACCTTGATTGCTAATGACTGAGTAGTAAAGAAGTCCCATGATATTTTAAAAAGTTACAGCTTCAAACTATTGTTCAAACAAAAACCACAGTATTTCTTTGCTGCTTTATAATAATAAAAAAATTAAGCTAAGCTTCCATTTCTCCCACGTGCTGGCACTAAATCTTCAAGTGCTCTAGGGACCTAAAAATTTGAATCGGAGCTCTCAAGAACAAATCAAGCAAAAATCTTGAGATATTAATACTAGTGAGTATTTATACTGCATTCTGGATACCTTAACATCTTCCAAATATTCGATGTCTGCAGTGCAATAACCATCTTTCATCCCTCTCCGTAAAACTCTAAATCTCTTTCCACCAACTGTATCAACAACAGACCGTCCATCAGGTAGAAAATGAACGTTCCTAATTTGCAGCATGCATCCATAATCTGCAAAACTAGGAAAGAGACCTTATCAGTAATGTGATTACACACTTCTGAAAGGACACTTTTTATAATTAAAAAAAAAAGACATAAGAGATGAGAAGCTTAGAATTAGGATGTAAACCTACCCATTTTGAGAATCACTTATACACATCCCAAACTGTTTAGTCCCAGTTTCCATACTTCTACGAATCATTAGTCGGTATCTTGGCTCAAACACATGTAGAGGGCAAGGCACAGTAGGATATGCCATAGTGCAAACAAACATTGGAACATTCTTGGTCAAGCTTCAAGAGAACATCAAAAGAAATTTGTGGCTTAAAAATCTAATCACTGAACTATGCCAAGACAATACATTTTTTTCAGTATGTTTGCTGTATTTGAAGTCACAAAGCACTCTTTTCAGAGTTTAATAATAAGCACATTGTAGTAACTTTCATAAACAAAAAACCACGTACGAATAACAGTGACTGAATACCTATGTACTAATTTGAATACATACTGGACAGTAAACCCCATAGTTACCTAGTTAGTGAGTTTCTAGTCAGTGAATGAAGGGCTTTGTTTTGGGGACAGGGATGTTAGTTTTTTTTTTTTTTCCTTTTTGTTTTAGTTTGAGCCATACAAGTCATTATGCCCTCAGAGTCACAGTTTTCCTGGAACTAAAAAGATATAGCAGTAATTACATAGTAGCTATGTCACCATTTAGATTATTTTCAATGATGGACTCCAGATCACAAGAAGCACAGGGTATAATTTTTACCTTGCAATATACCTCAGCAGGCCTAATTGAAAAACAAAATATTTTTTTCATGCTATTTTATCAAGTATGTACAGTTGATACAAACAAGTTAGCATTAGAACATTACCAAGTATTTAATTTTAATACCTTTCAGACAATAAAACATAATTCTAATGCATGGATTCTGTTATGCAAGTTGCATGAGCTATAGTTTTAAGAAGTTTTCCAACATTCGTATCTACAATACATGACGCTTTATATATCTGAAGAACTCTACTAGAGATAAACATCAAGATTACAAAAAAATCCCAATAGTTTCTTTTCATCACATCTATCTTCATACAATTAATGTCTACCATGAACTGCTTTGAAAGAAATTCAAATATCTGAGAAACTGCAGCCAACTCAAGAGGACAATTCCATTAACAGCAGCAAAACAAAAACTGAAGCTCCACGACAGTGCACACAGAAAGAGAAACAGAAGGGCAAACGTATTTTGTAGAGGACTTAAGAGCCTCACATTGTTGCTATCAAAGTGTGATTTTTTTATTTCCACACTAGTTAAAAAACTGTTAATTTTCTGAAATTTAAGACACCAAATTACCATGTCTTTATACTCCTTCTTATATCCATAATACGCCATTATTAATAATCACAAAAATGATAAAACATTTCTAAAAAGGATTTCCATACTAATCTCTCAAGTTTTCTAGATAAAGACAGCAAGCTTACTTTGAGTGTTCAGCGGTTTCTTCAGCATGAATTCTTTTTCTCTCATATAATTCATCAGATAAATATTTCATTATTAATTCCTCCAGCAGTTCTGTGATGCTGTATTTTCTGCTTGCAAGGTACTATAAGCAATTTAAAAAAACCTGTATTAATATTTCTTTTCATATATATTAATAAAAGACTTGAGAAAATGCAGCTTTTTTTTAAAACCATGATATATGAAATGTGTCATAGATTAGATCTAAACCCATGAAAACTTAACAGCTCTGAAGTTCTTATGTTTCATTACTTAACACCTAATGTTACTCTAATATTTGAAAATGAGATTCTCTATTTTAGTTCTTAGTGTCTGACAACTCGAATGTCTAACTCAGTTTGTATTTCTATGCTTACCAGAGACAGAATTGATTTCCCAGGTTGTACAGCCATACAAATAAGGAAAGTGTACAGAAATCACAGAGAGGTTTTACTGAATAGTTACCAAAGTTTACAAACACTCAGGATTTAATTACACCAATAAAGTAGATGGTCACAGAAACACAAAACCTCTAAGACCCTGAGGCAAACCTAATCAACTTGTATTGACAAAGTTTGTCTCAAGTTTTTCCTTTCTAGCAGCAATCCGTAACCCAAGTGAATCCAAGTTGTTGGGTTTAAGTGAAACAGCCTTTAAATGATAAAATATTTCTATTTGTGAGCTCTCCTGAGAAACAGTACCTCTTTCAAACTCTCCTTACAGAGTGGACACTGAGGAGCATGGTCTAAACACCGTTCCAAGCAACCTTTGCAAAAAGTGTGTCCACAAGGGGTTGTCACTGGCTCGAAGAACAGCCTGAAACAAAGTTATTAAAAGTTAGATACCATGGCAAGTGTATGTTTTGCTAAAAAAGTCAGTGATTGACCCCTTTGATTTTTAACACTAGTTATACCATAACAAAGCAGAGAAAATTAATCCCATGTCTCCTTATTCTACTTTTTCCCCTACAGTGCAGTTTGTTTCCATTTACCACTGCACCACTCTTTTTTTTGTGTTTTCTGATGAATCTGGACACATTTCAACACTCTAAATAGCTACACATTTATCCCAATGTACAAAAATTTTGGTCTCGCTACATAGAGATTCAGAATACGCAAAATTAAGTGATTCTTTGATAGCAGTATTAATAGCAGTATTACATACTAGTAACATAACTATGGACAGTTTAGTATACACCATATGTTTTAAGGTATTTACTCTGAAAACCAAGATGACTTAATAAGAGCTTTCAAATACACCAGCTACATTTACGTAGACTAACATTCTGAAGTATCTACATCTTCTAGACAAACACTTCCCAAAATAATAAGTTAAAGAGCTTTATTGACTGAAAAAACCCCTAACATTTAACCAGAAAAGATCCTGTCCTCTTTAGATTACCAGTTAACACCATCAAGTTTAATTTAAAAGGCAGCTTGATTAAAATAACGCAGCATTATATAGCACTGTAGCAAGTGACACATTTAAATAAGCATTTAACTGCAGGGATAGAGGAAGACTGAAAGTTATTGACCAGTATCAGAACACATCACAACCTGTAAGCACCTCGGTTTGTATGTGTAACAGGTATGCCGCCAAGCATCTATAACGGAAGTATTGCATCAAGGAGGAAATCTTACCTCATACATAGAGAGCACTCAAAATCTGATACATCAATCAAATCCCCTGGAATTGTTCCAAAAGCCAGTGTCATGTCCCTTTTTGTACTTTCTAAGGAAAAGCAAGACAAAATACTCCTTCAAAGAAAGGCACAAGACAGTAAATACTTTAAATTTCCAAGTAAGTGACTGTTTACCTCCTTGCTTTTTGTGTTTGTTTCTTCCATCTTCACATAGAACTGTATCCTGTTCTGAAAAGGAAAGCTTTCTTTTCAACAAAGCACCTTTTTCTTGGCCAGAGAGAAGGGGTTCAGAAGACACTCTCTTTAAGCCATCTTCCTTGGCAAGGCCTTTTGTTGAGTTAAGAGCATGGGCAGACTGTGCACGGTTTAAGCTTCCACTGACAGGCTCCAGTACCTCTGATCCTCCTAAACTCTGTAAGAGTAAGATGAACTGAACTGTACTTAAAGAGTAACACAAATCTAAGTATATCAGATGTGAACATGCAAAGATATATAAGCTAAACTGATACCCACAGTTAGTTCATTAGTTAACTAGAGGAACTGGGTAAGTCAAGACAGTATTCAAATTTGCTTTGCATTAACAATTTAAAAATCTTCATCTGCTTCAAAGAGAAGAAAAACTGTATTTCTCTCTATTTTGAAGTCACTAATATCAAATCACAGTACCTTCTAGTAAGTAGTTCACTGAAATGAGGAGTCTAACACTCCAAAGGAAAATACATTACTCCCAAATCACAGTTCTTTTCTTCCTATTTAGCCAATTACAGGAAGTCAGCATTTAGGCTGGAAAGTATGACAAAAGATATCAGAATGTCTGATGTTTGTGTATCAGCCAAAGAGAAAAGTTATCCTATAGTTTTTGTTACCTGCTCAGGACAAAGCTCTAAGTTGCAGCAAGACTCGGTCACCTCAGAACCAAGTATAAAAGGTTTATTTCGAATATGTGGTGAATTCCAAGCAGATTCCTTCAGACTCTCTCCTAACTTCTCTGGAGACAGCACATCACACAATGTCTAGAAAACAAACAGCTAAACATTCATAACAATAATAAGGCTATGTCTAGATCCTTTTTCATAAAACTACATACCAAAAATAAGAATTTAATCTATATGAAGTTATCCTCATGAATAGAGCTTTATTTAAGCAGTAACTGAGAAAGAACACTTGAGAACAAGCAGAAACCTACATACCTATATAACTAAAAAGAAATTTATCTAGAAGTCTTTTCTACTACAAGTAAATGAGCTCTTCAGAGTTAAACATTATGAATTCATTATCATGCAGCTTTTTCAATGTAAATTTTTATTATCAAAGAAAAACTGTTGTGCTCTGGGCATGAAAGAGTTCAACTTAACATATTTAACTTGCTGCCTGCTTTCCAGTTTTGTAGATTTTCATTTAGTAACTTCAAAAGCATATGTACTTTGAAACATGTACTTAAAACCTGTACATTAGGACTATCTCTTCAACATAGTATGATATATCTTGAAAGGAACTAATCTGCCACCTCAACCTTCTCTGTATGTATTGAAGATTTTTAGATGCTCAAAGTCTACCATAATGGGAGCTTTATAAAGGAACCAAGTCAGAGACAGTAATCCAGTTTCATAAATAAAATTACCCTTTCTACTTCTAGCTTGGCTGGAAGAAAGTCCTCATCAAGGGCTAAGCACTGTAGAAACAGTTGTAAGGCATCACCCACAAAGCCAGAGTCTTGCAGCACTTTTCCTTTCCGGAAGTAGACCTGAAAAACAGATACCATGAAGACATTTATAAAGAGTACGTAGAACTGCAGTATTCATCTTACAGGCATCACAACAGAGTTAGCATTAGAACCCTCCGTGACAAAAACAATGTAGCTCTTCAACAAACTTCAGTTGTGCACAGTGTGGATGATCTATATGCCTTGTCTAACACACATCCCCTACAGTGTTTGAAAAGATAAGCTGGTGTTAGTCTCCTTCCAGTTAATTTGCTTTGGCTTACGTGAAGGGTTAAAAACCTGACTAGCATGAAATTCACAAAAGGCCTTAATTTCCCCTTTCTGTGAACCATTGGAGGAGAACAACAGGGACATACAATGCAAATTATTACATAACCTCATACAACAGCTTACAGGATACCCTTTTTGCCCTCTGTTTCATTAAAAGCCTTATGGTTCCAGCCTGCAGGAGAAGGGTAACTACACAGAAAACAATCCACACAACCATGCACCCCTTACATACATCTTAATCTATATTCTTAACACGAAACAATGCACTTTTGGAATTGCTTCCTCCAACTATATTTTATTCTTGAACACTAGACAGCAGCTAGGGGGAAAAAAAAAAAAAATCTGTTTACTGTAAAAAAAGGGGGGAAAAGACTGCTGAATTTTGCTGAACCTACGTATAACTATATGACATCGGAACTGAGAAGTCCCTTATCCAACTTATGTCAATTTTTAAAAAGTTGCATTTGCAGTAATATAAATACAGGTTAGATAAAAACAACAGTTATTAAACAAAAGTTAGATAAAACAACATCTAGTTGTATGTGAGATTTTGGATAATGGGCCAGAAAACTGAATTTAAAACAAAACAAAACAAACCCAGACCCCCCCGCAGAGTGCAGTTTCTACGGAACGACTGCCAATATTAAGAGTAGAGTCTGTTAAACAAGGCTGTCAAATGAGGGCATGCATCATCTTTGCGCAATTTCATTAAGATGTATCCTGAAGAAGGAAAGTATGCTAATCCTCCTCTCACAGACAGATTATTTTCCTACAGAGATAAGAGTTGTTAGAGGAATCCATCAAACCAAGCTCAGTTAAGTGAAGTGAGGTTTCTTTCCAAACATATAGAAAAAAGTAGACAGGACTACCACTGCTGAGAGGCGAAAAGTAGGATGCTCTCTGAATTTGCAGTAGCCACGGAACTGCTGAACACAGGAGAAAACAAGACAGCAGCAGTTATCTCCCCTTGTGTGGCAAGATCTTGCTGCTCCTGCTGTGCCCAGAGTTTAGACAGTGCTGCAATATGCAGTATCTTACAGTTCCGAAGGCCAGTGACTCCCCAGCTGCCTGCACTATTTGCAAAGCTCAGTTCCCACTGAGTTTCTTTGGACTTTTTGAAGAAAAGCTTTCCAAGCTAAAACAGCAAAGTGTCCTTCTCTTAACAAAAATTAACAAATAAACAAAACAAACGGCAAACCCCAGCTGTTACAGGTTACATCACCATAAACTACACCAACTCCAAGTATTGGAGCCACTAAAAAAGGCCCCAAACACATGCTTACATTTTTTACCCAATACTATTGCAAAAGAATTTATTGCTTGTGCTAAATATTTTTTGACTCTTTGGTAGCATTTGGAAAAGAAAACTGTGTTGTCCTATTTATATAGCAAACTGTTTTACCAATAAAACTCAAAAACTATGAGAGAAATGTTGACTTAACAGAGCCAAGAATTCTAGTCCTGACTGGCAACAGTGCTCACTCATCTCGTGATATTCTCAAGGAACAGATAATGCTTAAAACACTCTGACTTTGGGAAATACAATCGAAGTATAAACACTTCAGGGAAGTGCAGAGCTTTAAAAGGACTAACTTGTACATACCATAAGAAATTGTAAAACTCAATTACATCAATCTACCAAATGTAACAGGCTCCAGAAGTTGTACTTTCAAGCAATTAAACCTGGCTGCACAATTTCAGCCAACCATCCAGTCAAATAACATTAAGCTGAAGTTAAGTTTGTAAATATTTAATAACTTTTCTTAAGAGAACACATGAAAGTGTTCTTATAAAGAAATAATCAATAACAAGTAACTACAGACAGCACAAAAGTACTTCACAATACTTCCCAAGAAGTCAGTTCTACTGCACGTAACCCTTCGTCCAAAGACACCATCTCATGTTGTGATATGAAATGAAAATACCTGAAGGTTTTGATGAAGGCTAAATTAACATTCCAAGTAGATTCGTCAATCAGCTCTAATCTGCCGTACTCATCAGTAGTCTGTCTCATATAAGTAACTACTTTAAGATACCTTTTAGCATTTTGCATGTCTTACAATATAATAAACGTTTAAGATAGCTGATCCAGGTTCTTGATGCAAGTATAATTAATTTTACAGATAAACACAGATTTTGAAAAATGAAAAGTTCATATCAACTTACCTCTGGCCAATTTGGCATTTTAGAAATAACAAAATTTAGATCTTCTATGGCTGTTTTATATTCTTGGAGGCCAACATATGACTCGGCTCTGTAAATTCTTAGCATCAAGTCACTGGAATCTGAAGACAAAAATTAAGTAACATTTTTAATAATTCAGAAATTTGTAATTTTTAATTAGATATGCTTTCATAGTGATATGTCATAACCACACTTTTCTGTACCATACTTTCAAAATTAGTGGAGTACATTCTCTCCCACCCCCCAATGTCCAATAAAAGTGGCAGTAATTCCAGCTCATGTCTTTCAAGCTAAAGATCAAATTTTGTACCCTCTAATGTATCTTGCAGCAACAAGAAAATATATTTTAAAAGATCTAACACTGAGGCTGACAGAATAAAGTACTGCTCAGTACTGCTGTGACAACAAAAATTGAGGACTAAGTAGACTTTAGCTTTATAGTACACCCATTCAAAATCACAGAAATCTGGGAATTCACTGCACTTGTATTAAAAAGTCTAAATATTACAAAGTTTTTTTTTCAAACGTTCAAGTTTTTCTTTAGACTGTCATTCGGTTTCATAATGTCCAACCCCTTCCAACTATGGGTGGAGATACAGATGCCACTTTCACAAGGGTATCCATCTAGTAAGTACCAGAATGAGGCTTTATCACTATGTGGTCTGAAAAGAGATAGCCAATATCAGAAAGCCTTTAACACCAGCGGGCAGCCCTGTTGTAAGAAGTTGTACCAGTGGAACTTCTGCAGTGGGAAAGCGTTAGTATGTGTTCAGTAAAGACAAGTTCTCATGTCCAACATACAGCATTTTGCGCTTTTAGTAAAGCAACCTCTAAATAGGAAGCACAACCATCTCCATGCCACTAAAACTATGGTTTTCATAACATAACTAACTGTACTTGTTGCTTGGAAAAAATGCCAGCACACCACTTTGTTCTTGATTTTTTTTTTTAAATACACCTGTGTTTTTCATTGAACGAGATAAACAAGTCAAATATTGGTCTACTGTAAACAATACTAAAATTAAACAGTTCTTTAAGTGTGTTTCAAGAAGATTTTCTTGGGAGGGGATCATTTAAATTTTGTATTCTACCTTAGTCTATTTGAAATGTCTGGTTTAAATTTTCATAATTTGCAACATTGGCTTTTTTTACATTTGGAAGCCAGACTGGTCAATGTTCCCAGGTATTCCAACATATTGCTTTGTATTTAGATCCACAATGCTACATGTAAAAAGACCTTAATGGAAAAGAAAGGGTTAAGAAAATAAAAACTGACAGAAACTGTCACCTGAACAGCTGGAACTAAAGTGCTGTCTTTCGAGTCGACAGTTTCCCTTCAAATACAAATATTCCCAAACCTGGTTTGTTTATTTTTTGTTTTAGTTTAGACATAATAAAATGTTTGTATTAACAGTCTGGGAAATTGTCTAACTTAAACAGGTAATTCTGCAAGCAGAAGAACTCTGAAGCGTGCTTTCCTGTGGCTTTGTGTTTTGTGACTGTTACAGCCTAGTAAAGCGGGAGCTCAGATCAAACTCTTCAGACCGTTTTTTCTGTTGTATTTGACTCTTTGGCGTCCAGCAGAGTTAGATCAAACCAAATTCTTTTCTTCAGAGGTAGCACTAAGTACAGGTCTTTGTCCTCTGATAAGCTACCTATTTGCACATCATCAGAGGAAGCTCATCTTTTTCAGACTTTCAAGGGTAGAAGACAACCTGAGGAACTCCTGAGCCTTCCTTTCTCCGGGGAGAGTGAGGGGTAGTTTGAAGATAAAAATGTGAGTTCAAGTTTACAGCAGATGGACATTTTGTCCAGTTCTTTTTCAAAGCGAAAAGCATGGTTCCAATTGAACTGGTACAAAACAAAGGGCTAAACCAAGGAACCGGGTCCCCAACTCTGCTGCTGAACACACACAAACACTGCCAATGAAAACACAAACACTGCCAATGAATGACCAAAACATAAAACAAATCGGATCTAAACGTTTGCGAGACCAAAAGATCTAAGTTTATACGTCCCATTTTGCAAACATAATTTAATTTCTAGGCTTTGTAATTGTGAAAACAGCGTTTTACAATATTTCAGCATATATTTTAATGTTTGCCACCTAAAGGCAGGATGCAAAACTATTTCAAATCCTTAGACCAAGGACTAAACAGAGCAGAAACACAACTTGTGCTTGAATTTTCAATTTCAGTAACCCAATGTATTGTAAATAGAGAAATCACTCACTTCTAGCATACCCAAAGACAAATGACTTTAATAAAAAAGACACCAAGCACTTTCAGTGCAGAACTGTGCATACCAGTTATTATTACATTAATAGGAAAGTATACAAAGGTGTACACATAAAATCCCACTCATTAGGAGGTTTTTTTTTATACTATTTCCAAACCATCTGCTCCTGTCAGCATAAGCATACCAATAAATGGACCATATCTGGTCTGATCCTGCATGCTTTTTATATGGTTCTTAAAAATATACCAAATTCTTCAAAATAAGACACACACATGACAACCACCAGGCAGAAAACCTTTAGGACACAGTATTTATTAATACAGTACTCTAAGGTCATCCCAATGATCAGGGGTTGGAACACACAACCCATGAGAAGAGGCTGAGAGAACTAGGCTTGTTTAGTGGAAAACAATTGCTGAAGGCCTTGGGAGACCCCAACAGCCTTCCAGAATCCAAGAGGAGGCTACCCAGAAGACTCTTTACTGAAGTGCATGGGGGAAAAACAGGAGACAATGGTTATAAACTGAAACAAGGGCAGTTCTGACTTGAAATAAGGAGAAAATTTTTCACTATGAGGATAATTAACCTTTGAGCAGGCTGCCCAGAGGCTGTGGAATCTTCATCGTTGTAGGTTTTCATGATCCAGCTGGACAAAGCCTTAAGAAAACTGCTCTGAACTCAGTGTTTATTCTGCTTTGAACAGGAGATTGATTGGTCAACAGACCTCCTGTTTTTTGGAATGACTCTGTGATTCAAGCCTATTAGCTGCGTGTTTCAGGATACTTGATTAAAGACAAGCTGCACTTGGATTTTAATCCAATAGACTTCCTTTAACTAAGCTATTTCATTTCAAGCCCTGCAAGGAATATATTAACCATATGAATGTTAACATTCCTCACGTTTTTCAAAAGTCACTTTTGCACCATGGCAAATACTTCTCTCTCAGATGTTTCAAGAAATGTAAGAAAGTTATGAAAAGATGCCATTTGAGTAAAGGTTTAGTGCCAATGCCTTACTTAGGACATCAGATTTATGTTTATCACAATTTTTTAACTCTCCATCTGCATTGAAAAGAAACAGAGATGAATTAGCAGTGAGGAAACACTGAAACAGAACATGAATGATTTTAAAAATTAATACATTTCTTATGCTACATCTTTTTCACCTCTAAGTGTTTTCAAGAATTCATGTTCTGGAGGAAAATAGAAAGTGTACCAGCAGCTATTGATTAGCTCTCTATTGGCCTGAAATCACCTTCAATTTGTAGTTGTGGGCCCACAGCTCTAAACTGACATTTAATGTACATCTGCATTCTGATTCACGAAGTTCTTCAGTATCTTTACCAGAATACTTGGAATATTGATAGTTCTCAGGACTGGAGACACAGGAAACAGTTGTACAAAGGATCTTAAACTGAGCTTCTAGCACTTAATTCTAGCACATGTACTGAGTAATAAAATTGTGGATAAGCATCACAGCTGATAACTATTCTCAAATTTTAAAGCCAAAATTTAAGATGTAGCTTAAAAAAAAAGGAATCATAATTTTTCCCCAACAGATATCTAAATGGTATTGCTAAATCCATAAAAGAAAGATTAACTAGAGTCTGTAGAATTAATTTTCTCTTTTATTCTTTCAAAACAATCTTGAGACATGAAACAGGACCCCTGTAAACATTTGTGATCAATAATGGATTCATCCATTTGTACCCTGAAGGCCACTGAGTTTTGACTCCATTTCTTTGTGACTTGTACGAGTCAACGCGGTCGTTCAGAACACACAAAGAAAAAAAAAGTCTGCTTCTTACAGTTCCAAGATTTGAAATAGATCAGCCACTTTCTCAGGTCACATCTATCCCATATCCTACATTTTGGAAACACCCTGGCAAATAACATAGAATTGAAGGCCACAACTGAACCTCTTTAGGTTGCCAAAAGGCATATAAAATACATCTGAGATTTAGTCCCACCTACGTTGAAAACAGTTTATTCTGGAACTAGATCTAACGTATCTCCCCAGAACAGATTGGAAGGATTCGACTTATGCAAGCTTTTGTTTTTTTCTCCGCTGCAGACAACTATACAAACATAATACACCTAATCTGTAAAAATATTAATTCCTAAATTTCTTAACAGAAATAAAATGGCACAAATGAAAATGGAACCCCAGAGGTCACCAGGTGTTAAAATCCATCGTCAAATAAAAACAACAAAGGAATCTGTCACTGGATCCTTCTAGGTGTATCAATCATACAAATTTGACTCCTTCTACAAAGACTAAACTCTGAAAAACTGACCGTATCTCAGGTGTTCATGATACCAGACATACTGCTTGTGATCGATATAGGATAGTCTAAAAGCGTGCCTCTACCTCCCGTCTTTGCACCCTCTCCCAACACTATATTATAAAACTTCAACCACACCCACCTATGATGTCACTGCCATTACACAACCTGTCCCCCTCCATGCCTGTCTGCTTATGCAACTGGGCCCGGCCTGCTGGGAATTGTCTTGGTGACACTTAAGACTGTGAAAATAGGTCTCTCTCAGGAAACAAGGTTAAGTAACAGCAACAGAATTTCTCTTGTCCATGCAGAGCGATTACTAAATACAAAACAAAACAAAGCCCACAAACTCTTCTGTAAACAAGTCCCACAAAAGCATGTGGGGGGTGGGGGGGGGAAGGAAAAAGAAAAAAAAAGACATGAAGCAGCCCAGGCTGGACGCTCCTCCGTGCCTCCGAAGTGCACCCCACCACCAGGCTTGACGCCCAACTGAGGTCCGAACAGCTGCGCGTCCCGTAATCGTTCCCTCCACTCCACCAGACCAAGGGGAGGTTCCTTGAATCCTCTCGGCAAACTCGC